TTTTGTTTTGCATTCTATCATATTAACCGCTTTCTTACGACTTATTGGCGCAGGTGTTGATTTCTCCAACCTGGTGAGCATGATGTCGGTTGACGATGTCGTGAAGGCGCCGCGCCCTGATAAGAAGAGGAAGAAGAAGAAGGAGGGCGCAGCGCCGAGGGGCGCAAAGCGGAAGGAGATTGAGCAGCCACGGGCGGTTGAAAATCCCCGTAAGGTGGCTCGCGTAGAGGAAACAAGTGCACGGGAGGCGCGGGCTCAACCGGCGGAACAAACGCTGTCTGATGCGCGGCAGCTATCCCTGGCGCTTTCACAGCCAGAGGCGGTGGTGACCAGACCCTCTCGATCAGAGAGAGAGAAGGCAGGGAGTTCGTCGGGTGCCACCGTCCAGCAGAAGATGCCCGAGATGGCAGGCTTTGGGGGGACTGCCGCGGCCACCTCTCCCGGTGCTGCCGCTGTCAACTACTTCCGCGATGTGCGGATTCATACCTCGGCGGCATGCAACCTTGTGGCCGCGAATACCGCGCTTCGTGCGCTTGGGCCTGTCTTAAGTGTTCCGCCGCGGGTGGAGAAGTCTGATCCCCTTCATGACTTGGCTCAGATCCACTTCGCGGTAAGATCCGGCTCAGTTTTATCGCGTCTTATCTCTCTCTCTTTTTCTTTCCCCCTTTTTTTATGTATTGTCTTGCTAAGTCTATGAGCGCTGTGGTTGTAGGGTTTGTCGGCGACCTTCCGGGCTCAGAAGGAGCGCGCACTGCAGCGCGCCAGGATAAAGGATGACGAAGCCAAGATCGTCCAGCTGGAGGGGAAGGTTGTCGGGGCGAACAACCGCGCCGACGTGGCCACCAACAAAGCCAACGAGGCGATGGAGGAACTCGGTCTCCTGCAGAGCAAGTTGGCTGCCGACGCGGAGGCGGCGAAAGAGCAGGTGCGAGCTGATGAGCGCTCGACCATCCGCAGTCAGCTGGAAGCCTCTTATGATGAGAAGCTGAAGCAAGCTCGTGAAGAGCTTCAAAGGGAGAAGGATGACCTGGTCCGCCTTCACAACATCGCGAAGGCGGAAGCTGTTCGCGAGGTCGCGGCCGTCCGCCAGTTCAAGTCTTCTCCCTCTTTCGGGAAGATTTTGGCTGACGCTATGACCAAGGCCGTGATCGCGGTCGGGAAGAAGATTCGGCCGGAGAATCCGGAAGTCCGCTGGGATACGCGCGAGATGGTCAGCCACGTCCAGACGTGGATTGGCGAGAAGCGGCCCTTGGAGTCTGACTCCGAGTCGGGTGATGAGGATGACGAAGAGGGTGATGAGGAAGAGGAAGGGGAAGAGCGCCCGGATGGGATGAAGGTTGAGGGCGCAAGCAGGGATGCTGAGGGAGCTGATGATGACGATGAGGAGGATGCTCAGCCCCTGTTGCGCCGTAAGCAGAGTAAAGAGGGCCAAAGTGCCTAAGTGTCTTTGCGTTGACATGTTCCCTTTTTGCGTTTGTTGCTTTGTTGTCTTTCTTGTTTTCTTCTTTCTTCCTTTAAGTGTAATTGCGATTATTTGTTGCTCCCGCTTAATTGAATCCAAAGAGTGCTTATTCACGGCGTTTGTTTGTTCCTTTGAATCGAGTGAGCGCAAATAGTGTTTGACTATTGCTAATGTTTGTTCTTTCGAACTGAGGAGGCGCGAATAACTCTTAGTTATTGCTATTTTTTGTTCTTTCGAACTGTGAAGGCGCGAACAACTCGTAGTTATTGCTATTTTTTGTTCTTTCGAACTGTGAAGGCGCGAATAACTCGTAGTTATTGCTATTTTTTGTTCTTTCGAACTGTGAAGGCGCGAATAACTCGTAGTTATTGCTATTTTTTGTTCTTTCGAACTGTGAAGGCGCGCATAACTGGGAAGTCAATATTATTGCTGATTTCTTGTGGCCGTGCACAAATGTTACATTAATTTGAGCAATGATATTTCCTGAAGCGAGCTTGCCATATTTGGGGTCGGGGCGGAAGTTCCTGCGTAGCACTTGATCTCCAAGAACCAATTTGTGCGGGACCAATTTCGCATTGTAGTACTTGGCTACTTGCAAACTGTTCGTATCCCCTGTTACTGAAGAAATGAAAGAGGTAGCGGCGGAGATCGAAAGTGAATTCGAGAAATTGATGGTGGAAGAAGGCACTGATTCCCGTATTACAAGAGGGTTTGTCGAAGAAGGCACTGATTCGCGTGAGGGGAGGCGGAGGAAGCATCGGAGCCGCCGCGGGAGGGTTTCCCCGGGCTCACTGGGCAGGAGTGAAGTTATGCCAATCAGAATCGTTGGTTTTTTATTTTTATTTTTTATTTTTTAATGAATGTAATAATGAGGTGGAAAATATATAAGTTTATTTTTTTATTTTTAATAATTTTTTAGTTGCCACGTCACTAAGTTAACTGTCAACTTTGAGAGTTTGACTGCCACATCAGCAAAAGTTAACGGAGTTGGACGAAGAGTGACCAAACGTGAACGGTTTCAGTAAAATGAAGTACCACCAATGGATTTCAATATTTCGAGTGACCAAACTTGAACGTTTTTTGTAATCTCAGTGACCAACCATGCAATTAACCCATTATATATTACATTATATATTACATGTATGGCTTTGTTTGTTTGTTTGGCAGCAAACAAACCCTTATCTAATCTATATCACCGCCCAAAAAAAAGATGTCCCAACTTCCTGGAGGGTTCCCCTTCTTCTCGGTTAAAGTCAAAGGAATGAATATATATATGCATGCAGCGAATGGGCCATTGAACTTGGATTGCCGCCTCCCACGTTCCCTCTGCTTTGAGTGCATGATTTTTTGTGGACCAAGTAACCAAGTAGATAAGGTCTGCAATAACGAAGAAACTCGTTTGGAGAACGAACAATCTTGTATTATTGTTACAAATGTTCAGCGTGTTAGTGAATGGTATATTGGTATTTTATTTACGATTGAACCTGTTTCAATAACTCGAGTTATTGTAACCAACTGGTTTGTGACATTGTATTAGAGTTGGTTTAACCAAGTGGTCGTGTGTTCGAATTCCAACGACCCCTCAATATTAACAGTTGATTAAAGCACGAGATATGGTAATCGCCTGTGCAAACTTCAAGATCCTGGGTTGCCTTTCGTTTGAGGGGGCGTGTGTAGAGAGTGGTATAAGATCCAGCAGAACCTTCTCCCAATAACTCGAGTTATCAGGTGGTTTATGACATGATATCGGAGCCTTCTATGACCGAGAGGTCTTGTGTTCGATTCCCGGTAACCCCCCATTTGTTAAGCACATGGTATTCGGACCCATGCAAACTTCAAGCCCTTGTGAGTGGCTTTCGTTTGAGGGGGCGTGTTAGTGTGTGGTATAGGATCCATTATGGTTGACTCGTGGTGTGAGTGAACGAGCTTGATTTCAGAGCGACATATCACATATCAGACAAATAAGTTACAAACTATGTGGTTATACTAGTAGTAGGCTATCATTAATTTTTGTTATAAGTTAACCACTAATCAAATTATAGCGCTAGTCAAACTCGAACCACTTAGAAATTATTGATTAATCACTAACCTGTCACTATCAATTTGGTTAGTGATTCATTATCAATTTGGTTAACGATTAAAATCGATAATCGACTAACCGATTACGATCCTAAGAATTAAAGAGAGCTGGTTGGTGTTTACGGGGAGAGAGGCCATATGGGCCTATTGGGGAAAAGAAACAAGTAGGAAGTAGGAAGAGTCGCCCTCGGGGAAGGCTGTTTTGGATGGACACAAAGGCCAACCAGCCCACCTACACAGCCAGCCAACAATTAACCTTCCCCAGCTATGTTCCAAGTTTTCCACCTTCCCCCAGGCGAATTGCAGAACTATTCCAAGAGAGAGAGAGAGAGAGAGAGAGAGAGAGAGAGAAAGTGAATAGCATTGAATCCATTTATTATATAGATGTGGTCAAACTTGATCCAATGAAATTGGGGGGACGCCGAAATGAAAGTTGTAGCACACCAACCAGAGAACTCCATCCATTATCTACGACTGCACAGGCTGTAATAGGAAATGGATGGATGGGTTTCAAATAAAGTGTAATTAATTGACAGGGGAAAGAAAGGGGTGGGATGGGATGCTAACCCCATATCCCGTTAGCACCTGCTAACTCCAAAAACGTTACATATGTATTCATATAAACACTACACACGTATTATTAAAAATCACTACTATCAATATATTGCACCTCAATATTGACGAAACTACATTGTCCCAAGACAACTATGACCAGAAACACTACCATGACTGCACATCAAACTACTACAGACCCTACATATTAACAACACAGGCGATCAATAAAAAAAAACTACCAAAAACTTTCATGCAAAAACACTACCACGACTATTAGGACGGTGCTAACCCCTATAGCATTTGCACCGTAGATTGTCCCGGAAAGAAAGGATTGCGATCAGGCAAAAGGTTGTACAAAGCTGGCTTTTTGTCTACATACATTACTAGTTGTATAACAACAACAATCAACCATATAGCCCTACGCTGCATACCAAAAGGGGAAAACCCCATTAATAAGGAGAAAGACTATACATTTGTGAGATTGAAATCACAAATTGATTGTTCGAATTTTTGTAATTTATTGGGATTTTCCAACTTGGAGAGGTAAGTTTCTAATTTTGGGTTTTAACTGGAACCAAACTAGTTTTACTGGCTTAATGGGTTCGATAAAAATAAACTCTTGATTAAATATTCACATTGATCAGTTTGTGGGTGTGAAATCCATTCATCCCAATTTATATTTCCAATCATTCTAACCAAAACCAAGTCATTTTCAAGACTCATGCCTCCCAGTTGTTTGGAACTACTTTTTTTTTTTTCGATAGCAAAGATCGGTTTCCTGTTTTGGCTTCTTGTCCGGATGCCAAATCAAAGTAGGGTTGATGTCCACACACGAACAAGAAGAGAAACGTGGGGGGCAAGGAACACAGATCGTCTGACAATGATATTTTGCCATCAAGAAAGCTTTGCTTCTGATCATATATTTCATCAATAAGAAAAGAAAACACTCTTCACTTTGTTACAGGGTTTCCCGCAAACTACACATTCTAAAGGGTCATCATGTCAGGTAGGAAGGAGGTTGGTTTTGAAAGGGTGGGAAAAAAGGGATTCTAGGTCGTCACAAAATTGTGGTTTCGTTCTGTTTAATAGCAGTAATAGCTGTTAGTTTCTTTGTTTCTTCTTCTTTTTTTCAATTTCTTTTGTTAAGTAAAAAAAAAAAAAAAACACAAACCACGCATAGCCGCCCCTTCAAGATCAACAGACCTTCCCAACTTTACCATCAAACTCAGAACGACTGCTCGAGAACGAGATACCGGGGCTTTCAACCTCTTCTTCGTCGGTAAACGGGTAACAGATCTTTCGGAGCTCGTTGTACCTATTGAGATCGAACTTCTGAGCCTTCATCAGCTTCCTCTGCTTTGCGAGGAACCGGCTCTGGAAGAACCCTTCGAACGTGGGCTCCCTCGAGGTCCTGAGGAAGAACGCGTAGCCAGCCATGACGTACACTGATGTGACATAGAAGCAGATGGGCTCCATGACGTCCCAAGAGAGCTCCCAGAATGTCAGCCTCATGAAGGCGGCGGTCTGGATCACTAGGTATCCCAGGCCGCCCCAGAGCTCTCGCCTGACTTGGGCAATCGCCTTTTGGTCGATCAGGGCTTTCCGCTGCTCCAAGCTGTCCATCTCCTTCTTCCTCGGGTCGTTTGGGTCTGTTGCTGGGAATGGGATTAGGCCTCCAATGGCTTTCACTACCTGTAATGGATCACAAACAAAGAAAATTCCCATTTGGTTGGGGTAAAGGCTTGCTCCATCCATGTATCATCATTTTGATATCAGAATGAGCATCTTGACAATGTTTATATCTCTTTTTTTTTATTGTGCTGTGTTGCTCTTTCTTTTATGAAGAACAAGTGATGAATGTGTAAATGAATAACCAAGGGTGTCTTGAAATGAAAAATTAGAAAAGCAAATGAAATGGGAAAAGCAAGGATAACAAATGATCATATGGGGCTTTTCAGGCTAAATCCCACCAAAGAATAGAGCCAATCAGGCAAGATAAGAGTGCTGGAAATCAAGAATAATAAAGCATATGAATAAGAGAACTAAAGAATGATTAATCGTTATTCTAATTGGACACCAACTCCTCCTAATTCCATCTTTCCCTAGACTTGTTCTAAGATGAAATCTTAGAACACCCCCTTGTTTCTTGTTCTTTTCTTCAACTATTCATATGCCTAACAACGCACACATCCACTAGACCACTAACCTCTAAATAATAATACTCTGTTTTCCTTTTCCAATCTCTCAAACCCTAACCCAATTCCATATCCTATTTCAATCCCCTTCTCCAGATTGTTATCTACATGGTCTGAAGACTCTGAACATAAGAGGAACCAAATCCTAATCAACAAGGACCCATTTGGTTTCTTACTCTGCTAGATTATACTATAAGATCAAATTTTATATATCTTCCCCAAATCATAACCCTATCCAAATATTCCCCTGTTTCATATTTATAATAGAACCTGTTCTAACCCTTTCATCCCCCACCCCGAAACGATTTTCAAGCAATTAGTTGATCCAAAATGGTTATAGTAAGGCTTGACTGGATTCATAAGTGGGAACCCAATCAAGCCTTATTAAGACCATGTTAATCAGATGAAAAAAAGAATCAATCTTTGTCACTGTGGAAACAGAGAGACAGAGCTATGGGGTGGGTTCCTTCTCGCCTGTTGAAACACAAAAACACAAACACACAAAAATACATAGAGAGAACATATCAGTTTTCGGTATTTTTTATGCCAAAAACAAACAAATTGGGGAAGAAGAAGAAGAAGAACACGAAAAGCAATTGCAATTAGAATCGGCTGTTCATTATCTGGTTTGTTACTTTGGACCTAACTCTCAGAGAAGGGACCAAGGCAATGAATGAATGGGGGGTAATTTTTTACATCTGTAAAACAAATTTAGTGAGCAAAACTATGAATTGCATTTATTTAGTCGTTAATCCGAATGATGAAGAAGACGTTTCATGGAGGAATTAAAGGAGTTTTGATTTTTTTGTTTACCTGTTTCGGTTTTAGGAACACTGCATCTCCCAAGACGATAACGGTTCCGGACTCGTCCAGCGTCCGGGCGACCCGGCTCGCCTCATCCGGATCCGAACAAACTTCACCGCAGATCCGAACGAATTCCGATCGCGGCATCCAGTTCCTTCCCGTGTCTCTCAGCTTCGATTTGACCATCTCCAATCGCGCCACACGCAGCAGCTTTCTCGCGTCATCGACCGTCAGCCCGTCCGCCGCCGTCGTGGTCTTCGCCGGCGACTCCGATTCCGACTCCTCAACCACCGGCGGAGGAGGGACGAGCCCGTCCAATCGGACCCGGTCTCGGACAATGTCGAACGCCCTGAGCTTCTCCATCAGGCCGACCCCCGCGCCGACCTGGAACGGCTTCGCCGACGGACCCTCCGCCGTCGCCGCGGCCCTGCGGTGGAACAAGCGGCGGAATCCGGTATTGTCTCCGGGATCGGGAGCAATGCCGGGCTTGCTCTGCGGTATCCGGCTGCGGACAGTGGCGGAGGACGAGATCCGGCAGTTGGTGAGCGACTGGGTGGCCGAGATTCTGGAGATTTTGAAGAGGCGCTCAGCTAGGGTTTTCTTGAACGCCATCTTTCTTTATTTTTTGTTTTGAATCAGGGAAAGAAAATGGATTTCAGAATCGCTGGAAGCTGCAATGGCTTTTTTTCCCCCTTTTTTTTTTTTCTTCCTCTGTGAAAGGCCCCCACGAATGAATGAATTGGGGGAATGGCTGCCGAGCTCCCGTCCTTAATATAGGTGTCCCAACGAGGAGGACGACGACTGCGAGAATTTCAAAAATATTTTTACCACCGCGAGATTTTGGGGTTTCAATTCCTTTTTTGACCGTCTCGCGTCACGTTGAGCTGGCAGTGGGCATATTCTTTTTCCGTACTTACCCCTAGTCTTTGGAAATATTCTCATCTCGTCCACAAAGGGTCACGAGAAATTGCGGGAAAATCGGATGAAAAAAGGTGGGGCCCATTCACGATAACAAAAAATCCTCATCCCCTTCCCACGCTGATCACCATACACGTGGTTGGCGAGCTTTTTTAATTTAATTTCATTTTTTAAACTTTTAGTTGGAAGCCTTAGCGCCTCATGGCCGTCCAATTAATTGATCTATTTATGATTCAACACAAAAAGGAAAAAGTAAAACTAATCGACGGCTGGCAGGTGGTTGGGCGAAGGGCAGAGGTTCGACCGGTTCCGACCAGATCGAGTGGGGTTTGATCGGTGTCGATGTACGGAGGGATCTTATCTTATAGGGTGCAGGGTTGTAGAGTGGAGCTGAGTGCATGGAATAAAAACTTTTGTTCTTTCTTCAAGTTCCAAGTTTCGCTGCGGCGAGCGGGGAGGTTATAATTGGTGGAGGTAGGGGGAAATAAATGTGGAGTATTCACGCAAACGTGTCGCCACATCTGATAGGGATTTTATGGGAATAGTGTTCCGTTTTCTCATTATCTGGTGCCACGCTTGGTTAGGAAGGTGAATGAATGAATGAAAGAGGGAAAGGATTAGTTTACTTTTCTTGACAAATGGTCTTTTACTTGGTTATCAATTTTCTTCTTTATACTCTTCCTAATTTATATGAAAACATATTGTGAATTTATTATTTCAAATAATAATAATAATCCAGAGTAAATCTTTGTCTCATTTGAAAGGATTGCGTAAGAATAAATGTGTAAGGTGTGGCAACAAAATCAATTTGTTCATATTCTTCATGGAAACAAAATAATAGAAAAATAAAATAAATAAAAATAAAGGAGAATACGAATGCCTAATATTGAAAAGGGCATATACCCATATAGTTCTAAAATTGTACTTGTTTGACGGTGGAAGTTTTGCGGTGTTTATTTGATTGATGTGTCACTTACTTCTGGAAATTAAGATGAAATTTTATTGGTTCACATTTTTTCAAATAATGCTTGAGTGAGGGTGTTCGATTTTGGGGGTAATTAGCATATACGGTCACAAATTTTTGCACTTTAGTAGAAAACGATCACAAACCTTTAATTTGTAACGGTATGGTAACAAAAGTTTGAAAAGATATGAAATGGTCACTTATATTTAATTTGTGACCGTTTTGTTTTAATTACAAAGTTTTATTACCAAGTCGTTAAAATTAAAGGTTTGTGACCGTTTTGAGGCGTTGAATTCCCTCACTGTCATCCTTTGTTTTTTTTACGAGTACTGTCATCCTTTGTTACGATAATATCATTCAAATAAGTTAACAAAGTCTTCGTACATCGACTAGTGCGAATTGTAATAGTGATTGATTGTTCAAACATTTGAACGTTAACAGTGACCAAAAGTTTAATTTGTAACATCACAGTAACAAAAGTTTGAACTTGTATGAAATGGTCACATTGTTTAATTTGTGACCATTTTGTTTTTTAAGTACAAACTATTGTAATCATATTGGTACAAATTAAAGATTTGTGACTGTTTTGTATTAAGTAGAAAGATTTGTGAACATTTATGCTAATTACCCTCGACTTTGGGGGAATCTACGTAAAATTATGATAATACGAGTGCATATTATTCCCCCAACTCTAAAAGCAGTCTTAAGGTATCGAATTTTAGATATAATTTGATAGTATTAGTCTAGGATGAACATAGAATCACAACTAAACAATGCATTGCTCTAAATCCTAAACCTTCGATTTTGATCCCTAATCCTAAACCTCAAATTGTAAACCCTGAACACTAACCCTAAATCCTTCAAACATTTTTTTTTTCCAGAAATACCACTTTTAAACTAAAAAATTCCAGAAATACCACCTATTTCAAAAAAGTTCCATTAATACCACCATTTGAAACAATCGCTACATTTGGAAGCGGTTAGTACAAAAACCGTTGGGGGTGGCAACGGTTTGTATTAGGTCAGCCCACAAACCGCTAGGGGTGGCAACGGTCTTAATGACCATGGGATCACCGCACGATCCAACGACGGAATGACCGCCAAGTCAGCGATCCGCGTCTTGTAGGAAGAAACCACCCCCTCCCCATGATGTTTGTATATGAAAGTCATAAACTGCCCACTCCCCATGCGGTTTTCCTGTGGGTTAAATAACCAAACCACCCTCCCACCACACTCATTCTCCTATATAAACCCCCATCATCCCATTTTCTTCACAGTTCACACCAAAACCAACGCTTCTCTGTCTCTCTAAGAGGTCTCTCTATCCATCCCCTCTCCACCCAAAACCAAGGAAATAGTGGTATGTTGGTACCAAGAAGAGGGTGCTTTTTTATGACTATCAAGCGTACGTATTCATTCTACTATTCAATTTATGTTGTTGTTATGCTATCGTAGGTTGGGGAGGACGTGTATATATATAATCAAAGACATTATCTTGATCAAGGACCAAAAGATGCAAGCGTTCTATATGACCAACTTAACCATCGTTCAAGGGTGTTTGGAACGATCACGAGGCGCATATAGTTCTTCAACCTTTGTCATATTTTATTTTGTTATCGTACTTAGTGGTTTATAAATAAATTTTCAATGATTTGTGCTAATACAATGTGACACTTACTTAGAATCTTTATAAAGAGATGCATGCCTAAAGAAATGGGGACTTAATCGGTCATCATAATCCTCCCATTTTATGAGAAAATCAGGTCTTAAGCGATTCTCGGATCCTCCCTTTTTCTGTAAAACAATGTTGTATTTCTAAAGAGAAGTATACTTCTCCTAAGAGTCTAACAAGTGTACTTGTATTGGATTAAATCATTCAAAACAACCAATACGATTTACAAAATAGTATAGTGGATTTATGGCTATGTGTATATCTTTCAAAAAATCTATTATATTCATTTTATTAATTTCAATTAATTTTAGTTGATTTATGTGTATATCTTTCAAATGCTATTCATTTGAGCTAATTGAATATGTTTGTTATGACGAATTTATGTATATATATGGAAAAAGGTATTTATTTTGTTAATTCAATTTATTTGTTATAATAGATTTATGTATTTATAAGTACATCATAAACTTATGGTTGTAATTTTCTTCGCTGGACACAATATTGTCTGTTATAGGAGTACGAGCAATGTGCTCCCATATCACGATGCTAGCTTGCGCTATCTCAAAAGGGTAAGGTTGGATTCGATCATGCATTTTCTCGGCATATAGATCGATCGTCTACTAATTACAACATTGGTGGAGAGATGGCGAAAGGGGCACACAACTACAACTTTCCTGAAGGAGAGTGCATCATCACATTGAAGGACATCACCCTCCTAACCCATTTGCCCATCGATGGCGATTTGGTGTGTGTGAACGATCATTCACCAACGTCGTATGAGAACAATATAAACGGTTGGTAGTATTTGCTCTTCAAGACTTTGGGGTTGTGATTCGGGTCTAATTGTACACTTTTTATCCCCGTTTCTCTTTGACGTTTATTGCAATTGAGCTCCAAAAAGGGGTGGTTTTACGCTAGGTTTCGTGTGTTTCAAATTCTAACTAGTGAAACCAACCCCGGAGTCGAAAGTTGGAAGAAAAGGAGCAAAGAGGAGGAAGCAACCTGTGTTCAAGATCTGCCATTGGAGTTCAAGGTCTTACAGGATCGTGAACTGGAGCCAAAATCCGTGAGCCGCGAAGCATCCAGGGCGATTCCAGAGGTTACAGACGCCGAGTGAGTTCACGGTCGCTAAGACCGTGAACTCTAAGCACAAACCGTGAATCGTGGATGTGAAGCGGTGCGTTTTGGTTTCAACACTGAGTTCACGGGCGCGTTTCAATGTTCACGGCCGTGAACTGAGGTCTAAGACCTTGAACTGATCAACGCGTCCTTAAACTAAGATCGTGAATTGATCAACACGTCCTTGAACTAAGACCGTGAACTGAGGTCTAAGACCTTGAACTGAGTGAATTGAGGTCTTAGACCGTGAACAGAGCTCGATTTGGGTATAAAAGGAGAAGGGAGCTGAAGGAGAAAAGAGAGCCTTTTGGTAGGTTTTAGTTTTCAGAATAAAGAGGGTTTCTAGTGAGAGATTAGGGTTTCCTCTTCCCATTATAGAGAGAGAAAGTACCATTCGAAGGAGGAAGAAGTAGATTTGGGCTTGCCTTAAGATAGAAGAGTGAAGATTCTTACCTCTCATTGGAGATTCAAGCAAGGAGGAAGGAAGATTGTCATCTCTTCATGGTTCTTTCTCTCCTTTTTCTTGTTTTCCTTTGTCTAACTATGGAATAGGCCACCTACTCACTTGGGTATTGTGAATCCTAGTCTAGATGTGTGTTAGGATGCAAGAACATGATTCTATTTGTGTTGATTGTGCATTTTATATAATATTTGAAGTATTAATCATGATTTGTGGGTGTTGATTGCATTATCTCATTGTTGGGTCAACAAATAGACCTAGGAGGTGGTAATCCCCCTTTGGGCCATAGGGAGCTTGACCTCCTACCCATTCGGGTAACCCTTTCTATGTTAATCTAGGGCCAAAACTCAAGTATCAGAGTAGCACCTTGATTCCCACGTGATTGGTCTCTCCGCCGTCTGGATTAAGTTTCGAGGGATTGGTTTGTAATCCTTAGTCAATCGGTTCAGAGGGGCTAGATCGTCTAGCCTAGAGCTGAAATCCTCAATTGAAAGGTTAAGAGAGTTAGACCGCTAACTTAATGCAACAATCCTAAATTGGTCAACTAAGGGAGTTAGGGTTTCCTCGGTTGATCGGTTAAGAAAGATAGATTCCCTAGCTTTGTGTCACAACCCTTAATCAATCGACTAGGAGAGTTCGCCCCTAGCTAGATGCACCCACCTCACGGTATAGGAACGCATCCTTCACAATAGAGTTTTGTTCATGATTTCTAAATACAAGACTAGGGGAAGAAATACCCATGTGAAGTCCTC